TTTCACATTTCTCTAAAATGGACCGTAATGGAAAAATTGGAGGGAAAGTGTAAAATTTAAGATTTTCAGTATTTTCGTTTTCAATGAGTATATACAGTTTTGAGTTAGATGTATGTGAAAAATGTATATATTTGGTTTATCCTCTAGACATTTACGGAGGTCCTGTACCAAATAACCGGAAAAGGCCTGTAATAAGTAGATAGGAAAGAGATGTGTTAGACATGTGTTAGATTTTTTCATTTGGGATTTAACTTGAAATATCTCTTTACTTTTAATTTTTATTTAAACAATTTCAAGTCTAAATCTGACCCTACTTATTTCCCAGCATTTTAAATGGTTTTTGGAAAAGTTGTTTGTTTTATTATTATCTATCGAATCGCCTTAATATATTTTTGAAAAAGCAAATTTCGGTTCAGCAATAAAATCTTTGAAATTTCAAAGCTCTCTAAATCCCTTATTACCCTTATATTATTTAAAATGGTATTTGAAAAAGTTGTTTGTTTTATTATTACCTATCAAATCGACTAAATAAATTTTTAAAAACATAAATTTAGTTTTAGAAATAAAAACTTTAGCCCTCTCTAAATCCTAAATTCTAAGGAAAGGATAATAATAATAATTATAATGTAGAAAAAATTATGATTAATATAATTTTTATTTCAAAATTTAAAATTAGATGTTAAAGATTTAGTCAGACCACTGGCGTGTTGACCTCCACCTGAATATATTACTGTTTGGCTAATTGTTAACATGACGCAGGTCATTAATCACGTCCTGCTAAAAGCGACATCTCGCCTCAGCAGACGAAACAACTCTTATTCAAAGAATATTCTTCTCCAATCATAAATAACAAAAATGTTCCTTAAAATAGAAAAACGCCCCCAATTATTATATCCCAGATCCTCCGAATATACCTAAAATCTAATCAAATCACCGCAATCCGTTTATCGTGGATACAGACACAGCAGACATCATCGCAAAAATGATCAAAGGGGGTTCAGGAGACCCTAAAACGTAAAGATTAGTCGAAAACTCGAGGTTGAAAAAATTATGATTCCTATTGACAGAAAAGTAAACAAACTGATTTAACTCAACAACAATGTGCTGCTCGGTATTTGCAGGGCCGACGAGAGGGGGGGTAGCCGGAACGAATTCCCGAGGCCCGGGCTCAAGTGGGGGCCTGGCAGCTGTAGGTGACGACGTTTTTTTATGTCCGCCACAAGAGCACCAAAGAGATTTCATTAAAAAGGGGGAGAAGTTTCAGCTTGAAGATTTTTTTTTAGAATAGTGATTTTTTTATAAAATTGTCGCGGGGCCCGACTTGAAAAATTGTCCCGGGGCCCGACCTGGCTCTCGGCGGTCTTGGTTATTTGTATGTATGTCTATTTGAAACCTCCCGGCGCAAACATAGGGGTGTTATAAGTTTAAAGTGGCTGTATGTCTGCCTGTGGCATCGTACATTTGAGGAAAAGTGAAAAAATTTAATTTTTCAGTATTTACCATGGCAATGAATATTATTTTAAAAACTGTTTCGAGTAAGATGTATATAAAAAATGTAGTAAGACAAAAAAGTCATGTGTGGGTTAGATCAGATTTTTTGTTCACGTTGAAATAAACACGGCCAAAGTTTTGATTTTTCATTTATCTTTTAAATCTCCTTTAGCGATTCGAATTATTTTACAAGTTGCAATCGATAAGGTATATTTCGTTTAATGAAATTTTGCAAATAATACGGAATTTACGAATACCCATCTAAAAATATATTGCAATGCCTATTCAATAATATTTCTTTCAATTCCAATAGGTCTCTCTCACGATACGTTGGTATGTGTGCACATATAAATATTATTATGTTCAATAAAATACCATCTAAACCAAGTGTTACTAATTCCTTTTTAATAGGAGATCATGGTGCACTACAAGCACCAACACAAGGTGCTTTACCTTTTTACGTACGTAATTCTTATTGCCACGAACAAGGTGTGTTTATAATTTGTAAGTGCAATGAGTTACTTAATATTATCCTTTTGAAATTCATAGCAGCAAAATGAATAAAGTGATGTATGGATATTCGTAGCGTTTCGCGTCATCCATTTTAATGTCGCCTCAGTTGCACCTGTACCTTATACCTACCTTGAAGAGATAAGACGCTTTTTACTGGGGATTGTTTATGGTATTTGTGCTATACGTGACTGAGCATAATATAAAGGATTCAAAATTGTGAATAAAATTTATCACATTATCATATATTATTACTACAATATAGTATAATATCGTACTATTTGTCACAAACTTTACAACGTTGTAGGGTGTGGGATCATAATTTTTCAAAGCCAAGTTTTCAGAGAAGAAATTATTACTAGTAGTTTTTGTAGTGTTTATTTCTGCGAATGGGCAAATTCGGCATATACACACTAGATGTGCTTGCAGGAACACTAGTGGCGGATATTTATTTTGCGCTTTAATTCAGTGGGTGTCCCATTTGCAGCCATCAGTTTCATCACCAGTGATCTTGTCTAATAGGGGCCTAAAAGGTATGACGTTTTGTGATATAACTTTTCACTGATTTCTGAAGGAACAGTTTGATCATTGTATTTAGACAGCCTAGTCTAGTATAGAACAACTTTATGGGCGTTTTATTGAAGCTAATCCTGTTGCAACATCTGATAGAAAAAGTACAGAACTTCATCAAAATGGCCCGTACGCTAGCGTTTCCTCAATCATTGAGTATAGAATTCTATACCTATACTTAAATTCATTTGGGTTGATTGCCAAATTTAAATTAATATTGTTATATTCTCTAAAATGTCGATAAACCGAAAATAAATGTTCATCAAAAATAATAAAACTCGTATATCTCATTTTTAAACAAATATTTTATACATACTTAATCGACTATCGGTCCATCTAATAGTAAATAGATAATTTACATTCATTATTTAGTTTCGACAATCATTAGATGATTCGGTAGAAGACGAAAAAATTATCAAAGGCATGATTTGGACACGATGGAGCTTGCTGTCATCTATTGCTACTGTTGTCCATTGTCCTCCAAGATAATTTGCATTGAGATTGTTCTACACTACAAGGCTATCTAAATACAATGGTTTGATGCAAAAAACATTTTTGATATATTTAAGGTGATTGTGAATCAACTTCAAGTTTAATTTTCAGATTCACCTTACAAATAGAAAGTCGGCATCGTAGAAGAAATTGTTTTTTGCAACTCCTATTTTTTTCTCGGTCTCATTTTTGAGATACACCTACACCTACTACGTTTGTAACAATAAATTATTGCAACAATGTTGTGCGAATTGACTAAAATTTTTATTTTGGCACGTCGATCATAAAATATTTTTTCAAACATGTTTTATTTCAGTGCACATGAGAGGAATAAATTGTCGAAGCGACAGCATTTCTCACTTTATGGACTTGTTTGTTGCAATTCACACGGAATTTCAAAATTGTTCTCACAATAATAACTGCTTATAATTTTATAAATCTAACAAAATTTAGATTAAATTTATACGTTATGTTATTATACATGTAAATGCAAGAAGTAACATTTCTAAAACAATAAAAACATAAATATAATAAGAGTTTATAATTTTTATATTACTCACAATCGGTTAGTAGGTAATCTGTGGATTTAAACCCTTCACAACAGTGTGGATGCGACTTATTACTTTCTTTACTTTTCTTGCTAGCATGTGTCACTTCATTACCCGCAAATATCACTTAATATTAAGTGTTTTCGTATCTCTCCCTGCTTTTTTCCGGAATCATACCTTAGGTAGCTTGAAATTAACTGTCGGACATATTTTGTAAGTATAAAAAATAATCATTTTGTTATTAAAAGTGCCGTTCAATATGTATATAGCAAATTAGTTACCTAACTGTTAGAGTCAACCAACTTGTTATTTTACGGTTTCACAGGTATCTTCGTTAAAAAATATATATCAAATTATCAATATTATTGTTTGAAAGTTATATAAAATTACTAATAGCATATTGTGAGTAAAATCGTATACATACCTCAGGGAACTCATTCTAACCTCACGTATACCTAGATCGCCAGGGGTTGACAAGGGATCCATGTGAAAAAAAAAAGAATTAGGGGGTCTGTAAGATGTAAACGGGGGTCCACGATAGTCGATCTCATTCAAGCAGGTGGTCACGAATTTAATTTTGACTTTCCATTAATGGAATAACCCACACACAAAGATAATTTGTTGCTTAGTTTTTACCTGAAAACCTAAAGGCGCGTTCACATTATACCGATATATGTCAACAGGCAGGGCCAAAAATGGCAAAGCCACCAGTATGTGGACGTTTTTTCCTGCCTGTGCCAGTTGGCAAAATAAAGCCAGCTGGCATGTGCCAACTCGAACCCGATGATTGTCGGTCCAAATCAAAGGAAGCCAGTTGGCAAGTGTAGTAGTAGCAGCGGGGACGAGCCAAAGCTGGCCGGAGGCCTTAGTTGATTCCAATGAAGTGGAGAGGGTAGAATGATAAGGTACCGTCTGCGCATCTATGACAAGTGTAAAAATTATGCATGATTCAACCTTCCACTCTTACTCACGTAAATGACAAGGACAGATTGCCCTAAAGCGCAGTAAACAAATTCCAGGCTTGGCTTTGTTCAGCTATTTCATGTTCAGCTTTGTTTTTTGTTTGTGTTGTGGCTGTTGTAAGCTTTTGCTTGCGTCGGTTCTTTATTGGCTTGCCTATATTTCTGATTTTTTGTGCTTTGATGTCGATTTAGTGTTAAATTATACCGCATAATTATTTTCCAATGCACTATTTTATAATTGTTGCACAAAATGTTCCTAAACCATCCCTGAATCTTGTTTACAAAATGTGCAAAACCAAATTGTGCATAGCGTTTATACTTTTTTCATTGACTGTTATCATTTTACCCCTCTCCCCTTCATTGGTTGATTCTTAACCTTCGCACCAAGGACTTCCTGGAGATAATGGAGTGGTCAAATGAGAAAGTAATGCCGTTAATAGACCTGTACCGTGATCGGCCAGTTATGTGGAATTGTAGATTGAAAGAATATAAAGATCGCAATAAAAGGCATGACGCCGTTATTGAAATTGCTGTGAGTTTTGGCGTGGAGAAGGAAGAAGTTGAAAGAAAACTGAAAAATCTAATCTGTAATTTTCCTATTCGAAGCAACGAATTCGAAGCAACGCATTGAATATGCTTAGTTGTGTGAAGAAAATGTCGAGAACTTTCATCAATTGCTTCTTCGCACTGAAGTACGCTGGCTTTCGAAAACATTTTTGCTCCTTTTGGATGCCAAAGATCCAATTTTAAAACAAAGTTTCATCAGGTGTAAACCAGGTATTGCCTATTTAACAGATTTTTTCAGTAAACTTAATGAGGTTACAGCCTAAATTTCATCAAAAAAAGTCCATAATTTCAGCATTGCTTTCCAAAATTAAACTAATGAAGAAAACTTTGGACGGGGCGAGTTTTCCCAGTTTCCCAATTTGTCACAGACAAACTACCAGAAACATGATGTTTACGTTCAACATTTAAATGTCCTCTATTCAGAGTTAGAAATAAAATGAAAAGATGTTTTGAATATGGTAGTACCACAGTGGATTATCAATCCATTTGGTGACGTTGAAGAAACGGATGTTATATTACAAGAGGAACTTATCCGAATAAGCACTAACGAACAACTTAAGGTACAGTTTAGAAACGGATATCAGCTATTCTGGCTTCAAAAAGATATACATGTTACTTATCCCGCGTTGTGGATATCGCGAGAAAGTTTTTAATTGCTTTTCCGTCTTCATATCTAGTGAAAAAAGGTTTCAGCGTGATTGCCAATCTTCTAACAAAAAAAAAAAAGAAACAAACTGGACAACATTAACCGAGTAGATTTAAGATTAAACCTCACTAAATTGATGCCACATATATTGAAAATTTATTATCAAAGCACCAGGTTCATCCCTCCCATTAAAAAGCTTTATTTTTACTTATTGATTTTATGTAATATCTAATTTTATTTTTCTTCGTTTTAATTTCAGTTTCATTAATAAATGTATAATAGTATATTATTAAACGAGCAATTTATGGTAGTCATTATTCACGCAGGATGACGTTTGAATCCCGAGCCGTAGGCGAGGAATGCAAGTCACCCGAGTGAATAATGGCCATAAATTGCGAGTCTAATACTATACTTTGTCCACGACCATTATGGTTTCTTAATTAAATAAAAGTGTAGAATGAAAAGTTTTTTATTAAACATAGGTAACTAACTGTTGTTTTTTCGACTTTTCAATTTTTCGATTTTTCGATCTAGAAAATAACGTTATGAAAAGTATCGCCCATCTTTAGTTATCTACCGGAATGTGCCAGAATTACAAAAGCGTGAATTATCATAATTCAATCTAGTGATATATGGGTACCATATGCTTTTAGTTAGGAGGTAGAATATTGATTTATTATTAAGTGGTCGTGGACAAAAATTATTGTTTTTTGTTATTTTTTTTTTACACCTCACTACAGTTAAAAATCAGTCAAAATACATTTAAAGTAGAGGGGGTCTACCCAAATTCGAAAAACGTGGTCTACAAATCAAAATGTTTGGGTACTAATTAATTATTAAAAAAATGTGTTTATGAATTGTTTTATTTTTGTAATTAAACCCAAATTGAGAGGCATTTTGATTAGTATCAATATTATAAAAATACACAAAAAAGTTGCAAAAACATGAGTTTTAAAACTACTTCTTACTTATAAAATAAGTGAACAAGTCATTCGGTCCTCTCGCGAAAAGAAAAAATGTGATGATTTTCTAATATAAAATTATATTTGTATGCGCGCCACTGGGAATATTTTGCGATGTTATGTGTCTCGAAAATATTGAGAGCTTTAAATGTATGCATCGATAAGTCAAAGCTCTACAGAGACATTGAAGAAAATAAGGTGGGAAACCCTTCCATTTAAAACCTACTAATTTTCATAGATTTAATACATAATGGCGAGTAAATGTTTTTTTATTTCTTTTAAAAATTACCAAATACAGTAGAACGTCGATGATCCGGATTAATTGTGACCGGATTATCAAAAAGGAACAAAAAAGGTCGTTTGAGTTCATAACAAAAAGAAAAATCTGCTAAAACCGTTAATAAGTCACTTTTCTTATTAAATAATTGAGCAGATAAATAAAACCATTAATTAATATGAACTTATGATGTATTTTAATGAAATAATGTACAAACATGTAATGTACAATATGTATTTACAGAATACTGCAGTTTATACATTGTCAGAGCAGAACGTTTAGTTATCTTCTAGATAACACTCCTTTTGACTTTTTATACTTGCTGATTATATTCCACTTTTTATTTTTGGTAAATGTCAATAAGTAATTATAAAATACCTTTCTTTATTAAAACTGTTTCCTATCTTATTCGTTTAGCGTTATTGTAAAAATGTCAAGATGTTTTGAATATCAATTTCTTTACATTTATACAAACACACACGGGTGTCTACTCTGATTGACATACAAGATATCATAAGGAGAGCGAACTTTCTTTCCAATATTGAATTTATGAAACGAAATGGATTAGATAGTGGGTATGAGTCATGTCATGTTTGATTTTTGATGTATATCAGTGAAATTTGAGATTATGTTGATTGTTGATTTTCGAAGATGTAATTCAATTTAAATCAAGTTTGTTTTGACATATTTACTTATAGCTAGACACACTGGCGTAGCTATAAAATTTAATTACTTGATAATAAAATTATTAAACCATTTTGGTCAATATTTCTTTCTAATGAAGACAAGACATTTTTCAGTAGGTCCAGGAAATGTTATGGTTCCGATTTCCATACAATTGATTCTTTGCTCCACGATTTTATTTTTTATGTTTTCAGGAGAACCAATTCTATATTCATTTTTCTTATATAAAGAGTGATCCACAAAAATGTTTCTTAAATAAGCTATAAACAACAAAGACAGACAGAGATTACTATATGCCCATTAGTGTGTGGAAGTTCAATATTTCGGATGTTTTTGAAAATACGAAAAAATGTGAGAAAATGTCAAATACAAAAGTTTTACGGTTAACAGAGGCGCCTATTGTAAAAATTTTATCCAATATATAAGGTGCTCCTAGAAAGCAAGGTAACATCAAACTTATTTTTTCAAATGGAACACTCTGTATTTTATTTTATTTTTGAATTCTACTAAAAAATTAGTTTGTTTGACTGAAACACCGTATATATCTAATTTCATGTTTTTGACATTCGAAAATTGACTTTTTCACATTTTCACAAGATTAACACCAAAATGCTTGAAGTTAGGGTAAAACGGTTTACATGTCCCTGTTTTACGGGGTTATGATCGACAAGTAATGTTATTTTTAACAGACACGTTATTTGTGAACAGGTTGTAATTTCTGTGTGTTTATAAAATAACAGGCCTGTTAATAATAACACAGGTTGTCAATCATAACCCCCTTAGTTTTTTATACATATCTAGATATGCGAACTTTTGTATTAACTGAATCAAGAAAAAATCTAACTTCCGTTCAAACCGGAAGTGAGTTATTTTATTGGACATTTATATAAATATAAAAACTAAGATAGAGACACATAAACCGTTTTACCCTAGTTTTATCAGTTTAGGTACAACAGATGTAACGGTTGTAACCGTTTTCGTTATTTTGACACCAACATATCTACAGAAATGTCACTTGTCGTTTATGCCTAGTGTCAACAGTTGGTAATTCATAATTCATTTCGATTTAAAGCTGTCATCGAGCAAGTTGAATTATTGAATTTTATTTATCTTTTATCTTGTACATCCGATGTACTAATTATCTTTAATATTTTTAATGACCGTCTGATTTTATAAAGGTAAGTTTCCTGCCGATATTTTGTTGAAAATATATATTTAGTACAAGAATTTCTTTATTAAAATGTCAAATGTGAAACATAACCTCAACACATTGAATCACATAAGAAATCACATGTTTTATATAATTTTATATATTATTTTGTTAGGAAAGAGATAATATGCTTTACTATATTTAAATATGTTAAATAAGATTTTTCCTTTTCATATTAATTTTAGCCTCTGTGAAACTATTCAAATAATAGTTTAAATGTTCATTTAATAGTAAAAAGCATTATCTATTTTCTATACAGGGTGTCCTTTAAAATGTGTCCCAAAATTCTCAGGCAGATTCCTTAACCAAAAAATGGAAAAAAAGTTCCTATAGACCTATGTCCTAAAGTGCCCCCTAAGCGAGCAACAGCCTCTCGAAATCATTTTTTTTATTTTGATTTTTTGAATTTTCTTAAAAATGGAAACAAATAAAAGAACCAAATTTTGGCTGTTAAATATGATCAATAATAGTGACCTTTTGACACCTTCAAAAAGAAATTATTTCGTCAGGGGTGTACTTGGGAATTTTTTGAAAATTTTGATTATTCATAACTTTTTGTGTTTTTGGTAATGACTTATCCATATTTTTTTTTACATTCTACATTGAAAACTACGTCAAAAAGGAATACTTGTTTGATCTCGATTGGAGCAGCCGTTTCCGAGAAAACATCATCCAAAGATATTCGTGCAGTTTAGGTTAATTTTCAATTTTGGCTGTTGTAGCCAAAAAGTTGGAAATCGAGGAACACGGCTTACATGTCCCTATCCTTACTTTTGAAGGTCTATTCAGTGGCAAAAAATATTAGTTGATACAGGGTGATCAAAAATCGGATGTGATTTTGGATTTTTGATCACCCTGTATCAAATAATATGTATTTTATGTCACTGAATAGACCTTAAAAAGTTAGGATAGGGACTGTAAGCCGTTTTCCTCGATTTCCAACTGTTTGGCTACAACAGCCACCTGAATTTGAAAAAATGTGATTTTTGAGTAGCTGTAGATCCTTTACTATTCATATTAGATAACAAGTGTGATATATCATTGAAATCAGATTATCGAGCAGATTCTAAAAATATAAAAATATACAGGGTGTTCCATTTAAAAAACATAACTTTGATTTGGCACGGCCTTATGAAACACCCTGTCACATCGTAACTAATTTTAAAATGTGAAGCTTAAAGCTGCCTACTTTTATTATAACAGATCTACAGAGCTTCCTCACACTAATCAATCACCCTGTA